AATATATATATATAAAATGTATTTATATATATATGTTATATATTATGTATATATATATGGATTTACATATTAGTATGTATGTATGTATGTATATGTATTATATTATTATATATATATATATTATTATATATATATATATATATAATAAATTATATATATATTTATATATATATATTGTATATATATATATATATATATTATATGTATATATATATATATATATATATATTATATATAATATATATATATTATATATATATATATATATATATATATATATATATGTAGACAGGCACACAGACACGTGTTTATCAAGACATATATTCCCGATTATTATCATCATTTCCATATGCATCTCCTGGGACTCCCCGGGTTGCATGCACCATTGATCAGTTGGTGACCTGCATGTTGCTGAGGTCGCACTCACGTCGCCGCTTCACGATGCTGCAGTGAAAGAAAGGAAACTCAAAACGGAAAAAAAATGAATGCTAAACTGCGGGAACTTCCATGTATATAGATTATTGTGTGTGATGTTCTTCCCCCTTTATTCTTGATGAAAATAGTCGTTCTGACCGAAGTACTGATCGCCGGCACCAACTGTTCCTGGACAACAATTTTCACGTCTGGTCTGAACTTACATTCTTTTACTCCTCGTCGGCTCTTGACAGTCAACATTCTCACTGATATCTAAATTACCGTTTCTTTGTTTATGTATACTTATTTACTTATTGATCTGATTCAAACTATTTATTAAAAAGATGAAATTTTGAATTATCCTTCCTTATTTGTCTCGCGCCTTGTAGTGAGCCATTTTTATATTTTGAACTTTTTTCCTTTGACAATTTGGCTCTTCTCTCTTGCCTTCCCCCTTTCTTACACACTTGAACCAATCACTCCCCCATGCTCCCATGTCTGTAAATATCTGATAGTCTTGCCTGCGCCACAAGGACCCTTCTTCCCCTGTACAAGTAAGTCCCCGGTCCTTTGTCCTTCCCCGTGGTTCCGAAGATGAAAGTGATGCCCGAATGATCATATGACAACGTTACACATGTCACGACAACACAGAAGAGAAAAAGTATAAATACGTCCCCGTCATCAACATTTCCTTACTTTTAGAAGTTGAATTAGCTGCTACTTATCAGGCATAATCGTGGTTGCAAAAAACAAAAAGACCTGAACTGAACTGATTCTGGCCTGTCCAAGTGCTCATTCGGTAAGAATCGCCATCTTCAAATTTACCAAAAACAACGAAAAATGCTCGGTAGAATTTGTGACCAGCACCAAAATTACAGTCGCAAGGGAGAAAATAATCAATTCTCAGCCATTCATTGATAAATAAATGCATTGGCGGCGAGGTATTTTATCGGCACAACAAACCGTGAGCGGGTTTGTGTTCCCACTCGAAAATTGCAATGGAGCACGAACCAGCAGCCATGTCAGTGATGAATCAGGCATCACAGGCTCGGCTTCATTATTGTAATATTTCTAGAGCGAAATATACATTGGCAACCAAGATATGCTAGTGAATGCCTCCTTCTCTCCTTTATTATAGCCTTCATTTGTATGACTGCCTTCACTCTCAAACACTTGACATCCTCATCTCAAACATGTACATGTACTCTGCATCAAGGAGCACAGGGCGAGCCTTATTTGAGATGGGTCGTCACCAGATGTTACTCTATTCGACACCTTTTATAGGATTTGGATAATCTTCAGAAGATAGACGCAAGCAAGGTAGATGGGACGGGTTGAATTACTCACTGGCAGGAAACTACAAAGCTCGATTATTTGGTTTATCATTGTAGATTTAAAGTGGATCACACGCACACGCACACGCACACGAACAC